GCAGTAGTAGTGCAGTAGTAACTGTAGCAGCAGTAGTGGCAGTAGTAGTGCAGTAGTAACCCTCAGGGTGCTCTTACTCTGATCTAACTGTGATTTACTGCACCACCTGTGCTTTTACCACAATCTCATAGCAATTTATTGCACTGATCTCAGCTTTCACCCTGATCTCACTGTGATTTACTGCACTGTATTGTGCATTTACCACAATCTTACTGCACAGGACTGCAATTTTCTCACAATCTCTCTGTACTTTACTGCACTACACTTTAATTTTACCACAATCTCACTGGGCTTTACTACACTAGACTGAATTTAAACTGATCTTCACTGTTACTTGCTGAACTGGACTGCGATTTTATCAATGTCTCACTGTTTTGAAATGTGATTTTACCATAATCATATTGTGATCTACTGCACTGTACTGTGATTTTGGCATGATCTCACTGTGACTTACTGCTCTGTACTGTGCTTGTACCCTGATCTCACTGTGATTGCACTGTACTGAGCTTTTACCCTGATCTCACTGGGCTTTACTGCTCTGTACTGTGCTTGTACCCTGTTCTCACTGTGATTTTACCACAGAAGTATCCCTCGCTGTCTCTCTCGCCTGTCCAGTGACCGACGCGCTGGCCAGCACTTACATCATAGTAGTAGTCCTCTGTGGTGGCCATCGTCCAGCCGGGAGAGGTCCGAGCGTCCTGGCAGTGCTCCTGGGCAGCGGTCCGCGACGGAGCCGAGGGGGAAAGAGGACGAGAGCCGGGCGGGATCACTGGGATCACTGGGATCACTGCTCGGCAGGGCAGCGCTGATCAGGGTGGCAAGGGCTGATCGCTGACGGGCGGAGAGACGGAGAGATCGCTCCAGCTCGCTGTCTGTGCTGCAGCTGGAGCCCTGTTACCACAGGGGAGCTGGTCCAGCTCTCACTTCTCTAAAGCTGCCGATTGGGAAATGCACCTCTGTCGGTTTTCTCAGTGCTACTGAATAGAACGGGGTGTTTCACAAACTGAGAGCCCTGAAACTGTAACTCCGCTGCAGCCCCCGTATTCCGGCTAATTTGCTTAGGGATTCATGTGTCAAAAACCTCCAACACTCGCACACACACTGACACACTCCTGACTGGACTGGAGACACTGCTAGAGACACTGCTGTCCCTCTCCTCTCACACTCCCTCTGAATTCACACACTGACACACTCCTGACTGGACTGGGGCAGGAGAGAGAGAGGGAGGAGAGGAGAGAGAGAGGAGAGAAAGCACTCAGGGCTTTCTACACAATAAGAAGGAGGCTTTTCAACATCAACCCACCAACAAGAATCTGGCTATGAATATTTCAAAGTGTAATCCAACCCATCGCCCTATACGGCAGTGAAGTGTGGGGTCCCCTCACAGACCAGGTTTACACTCAACAGGACAAACACCCCACAGAAACTCTGCACATGGAGATCTGTAGAAACAGTGACCAAAACTCCTACCACCACAAAGCCCTGGTGAGCCAAGAGCTGAGCCCAAAACAGAGCCCCCTGAGCCAGGTGGTCCTGAGGCTCACTGACCTGAGCCACACCGACACCAGCCAGCCTCAGGACAGCACTGCTAGAATTAACCACATCACAGCACAGACCAAACATACAATATCTCACACACTGGGACACACACACACACAAACACAACACAAACTGGAATACTACAGAACCTTAAACAGACAATACAAACTAGCCAAATATCTAACCAAGCTAAATAACAGCAAAGAGAAACAGACCCTGACAAAGTACAGGCTCAGTGACCACAGCCTGGCCATAGACACTGGACACAGGCAGACCTG